TTTGTGCTGCTCTTCAGGCACTCTCCTGCTGACTTGTGTTCCTTCTCCAGGCTCTGGGCATCTATTCCTGGCCCTGGCATCAAACTGGTAGGAGTGGGATGGACTGAAGTTCCCCTCCCCCAGCACCTCTAGTTTAGAGCCCTCTTCACCAGCTTGGCAAGCCTATGACCGAAGATGCTCTTCCTCTCCTCTGACAGATGGATCCTGTCAGCCCCCAGTAGACCAGGTTTCTCAAAGCCCATGGTCTACGTAGCCGAACCCCTGGCTGTGGCACCAGTCCCGTAACCATTTGTTAACTCGCCAGATTTGACTGGCCCATTTCACTTGGTTTGGTTCCAGAAGTCTTATACTGATGTTTGAACAACAGTAGTTTGTTCTTACAGATCAGATGTTTACATACTGTTTTTTCTCTTGAAATGAAAACTGATTTACTGTCAGAGTTCTACAACTAAGGCTGCGTTTTAGGAAGCAGAAAGAGTGGAATATCTACCTGCTCCATAACAAGGGCAAAAACACACTAAGAGATATTAAGAAATTTTTAAAGGAAACCAGCAGAAAATTTCAGAACTGCATTTATTTTTAGCTTTAGATTTGGAATTTGGTTAGAATTTTCTTTTAAAACTGAGGTCTGGATCCATGCCTATCTTAAGATGGGATGTAGAATCATAGAATCATAGAATGGTTTGAGTGGGAAGGGACCTCTAAAGGTCATCTAGTCCAACCCCCCTGCTGTGGGCAGGGACATCTTCAACTAGATCAGGTTGCTCAGAGCCCCCTCCAACCTGACCTTGAATGTTTCCAGGGATGGGGCATCCGCCACCTCTCTGGGCAACCTGTGCCAGTGTTTCACCACCCTCAGTGTAAAAAGTTTCTTCCTTATATAGTGCGTGAAGATGTGAATCTGATCCATTCCAAATCTTTGCCTGAGTATTTCAGGATTTATAATTCTTCTGTGCAAGAAAAGACGGCTAGTGCACACATTCATTGTTCCAAACATTCTCATAAAGACTAAGCCCTAAATGGTTTGCTCCTTAAGGATTGGTTTTGATAAAATTATACCAGTTCAGCAGCCTTTGTCAGTAGGGGTACTTGGGGAGTAAGATCCCACTTGACAGTAAAAAGAAAATTCAGGATTATAACTGCAAACTTTTGATTTGTTCTTAGTTGAGCAGCTTAGTCTGAGGGAAACTTTGCTTGTTTTAGAAATAAAAGATATTAGATTATAATAATTGAGGTTGTTATCAATCTAGAAAGAAAGTAGTTTTTTCTGCCTCATGGACTATTTTTAGCCTAGAGGTAACTTACTGTTTTCTCTACAGGAGCAAAAGAGCTGTGGATCAAGTTCTCAGATGCAATGTTACTTTCAATATTAAAAATCTGGTACATAAAATACAGTATGCAGGTAGAATCTGCATTGCCAGCTGCATGTCCTCTTATTAGATCTGAAATGGAAATCCTGCTATTTTTGGAGGTGTTTTAACTCACTAGTAGGTGTTAAAATGCTGAAACATGTGGAAATCGAAGTCTTCTTTCTCTGTTTTCAGATATCTGCTTATGAGGACTCAGTTGCTGCTCATCTTGCAAAAATTCTCAATTCTGATCAGCACTCAGTTGTCATATCATCTGCCAAGTGAGTTGATCCTTTTTATGTACAATGTGTGGGATAAATCCCCTGTGTAACATCATCACCATAATAACCTTCTGTGTGAGCCTGATTTTCTTATGGCTGGCCTCGCTTGCTTGGCTTAATATATCTTAATTTATGTATTTTAGAGTGGATGTTTTTTCTGCAGAATTTTTCTATGGTACAATTGTAATGCATAGCTTAATTCTAAATACATCACCATTTAAAAAAAAAAAAAGTCACATAATATTAATGTGAAGTGATTTTAAATCATTCCAAATCAGCGTGCATCTTAAATATGAAACTTACTGTTATGAATGCAAATATGTGATCTACTTCACATTACATTTTTTCTGTTTTGTTTTATGCATATCCATATCATTAAGAGGACAAACAACTTCACCAATGTGAAGGCAAACTTCAGGCTAGGTAGCTTTGTTGTGGCTCTGTCTATATCAATTCAATAAATAGTGGTCTCAGACAACAGGGTTTTTTCCCCAAACTGAAACACTTAAAAATGAGAGATCATTACTTGGCAAATCACGGACATCATCTGAAATCGAAGTATTCTGTGTATACCTTCTCTGTAAAAAAATCTTATATTTTGCGATATGCAAGAGACCAGTCACAGAGTCTTCAAAAATACATCTGAATGTCATTACATTTCTTTTTTTTTCTGCCAAAAGCAAGTTAATAAAATTTCATTTATAAAATATACATAGCACATGTTGAAAATTAACTCCAAATTCTAAATTGAGTCTGTATCTTGTTAAATCTGTTTCATTTCTGTCAAATAAATTTCAACCAATGAACAGTACTAAGCAATTATCCACACCTCGTTAGTAAGTTTGCCGTCTGTCTGGTTAGTAAGTTTGCCGGTTGTCTGCAGTTTAGGGAATAAGAACCAAGTCTTCCTGTGATTTACACCATGAAAATTCATTGCAGCCACTGTAGTTTGCACAGATACGCCTCAGGGTCAGCTGTGGTTCAGAAGCATGAGTGGTGCAATGGGACGCGTGTGGCCATATGCTTTCATCTAAGAAGTGCTCCATTAAAGTCAGTAGATTTTCTCCACGGTTTCTAGGCTCCATCTTCACATGGGAGTTTGCAAGACTGTGTTTGAAGTTAACAAAGTGAAGGCAAGTTTGCTGACAACTCTGGTATAGAAGGTGTACAAGCAAGGGAATGGATAAAATTAGTCATGTTTATTTCAGTTCTTAGAAATAAGAGACTTACATACAATGTGTGCAAAGTCTTAGATAAAAAGGGAGGAAGACTTTTTGTTTTAAAGCTTATCGCTTGAATTTGGCAAGCCATGGAAAACAGTATCATCTGCTTTGCAAGTATGATCACAGAGTTCAGTTTCCAACAAGAATGGTGTATAGCAGTATGCACATAAACCAGTTGCCATAAGAATTTAATATTCAAAACATATCTATTTAATTTAATTTGATTTCTCCCCTCTCATATTTTTATCTGAAGAATATTATGTGAAACTGTAAAGGACTTCGTTGCCAAAATAGGGAAGACTTATGAAAAACCAATGGAAAATGCAGAGGAAGCTGATGCCATGGCTATTAAAGTAAGACAATGACTATTTTCTGGTTTAAAGTTGTGTTTTTGTGTTATAGCTCATGGGTGTTTAATTTTTAAACCTCTCCGGGATGCCCAGCTTGACTTCCATTTCAACTTTAAAATTCTTCTCTTCATAGTGCATAGAACAGTTACTTCCAAACTATCTTTAAACTATAAGATCTCTATAAACTCTGTTTACACTTTTTTCCTTCAGAAAGGATAAAGTACATGCTAAAGTACATAGAGATAAATGGAAATATTCTGCATTAGGAGTTACACTTTTCTCTGAAAGGGATTAAGTTAACTGCAGGAAAACAATGGGATAATGAAGAGAGAATATGCTGGGAGAATGAAGGGAAGAGAGACTACAGTGTTAAAAATAATGGTTTAAGCTGTAAATTGTAGAGATCATGTTGCAAAAGCATTGAAAAAACCCAGAAGGATTTGGTATGAGGCACAAAATTTATATGAGCTGAAAAGAAAAGAAGAAAACAAAATCACTAACAATCCCAGAGTCAGGAAATGTACTTGCTAAATGGTAGTTCCTGGTTCACGTTTCTATTCAGTGCACATTTTAGAAAATGAATTTTCTTTTTTACTGTTCCAGGGCCAAACAGCGTTGGCTTCCTTTCCCTTAAGCACAGAAAAACATCTCTTTTCCAGTGCACCTAGAGAGCAACTGCTCAGTCAGGGGTAGAGGTGTTTGACTGTTTGGTTCTGGCTTGAGTCTCTTCACTCTGTGACAACTCACTTGCTTAAATGTACAGCTGTGTTGCAAAAAAAACCAACCCCAAAACCACCATATGTTTTCAGTCTAACAGCTAGGCATGTCCCCATAGGTTGTCTCTTCAAACTGGGGTACTGAGCACCCGTAATTTGTTATAATGCATGATATGGGCAAATCTGTGCTCGTTCTCTCTGTGCTGCAGGCCATCTGAAGAAGAGTAAGATCTAATCTGTACCCTAGTTATGTGGCAGGCTGAGTTTAGCCCAGTGTGTTATGTTAGTCTGAGTGTAGGGGGTTTTTGTTATAATTGCTCTAATCTGGTTGGGTGTCACAGAGTCTGCAAAAACCAATGCAGACCTACTGATAATCTGTTTTTATGAAATATGGAACCTGGGTTTGGATTTTACAGAGACAATGACATAGACACTTAGACAATTTTAAATTCTGCCTCATGGAGAAATTAGATCCCTCCCTATAATCTGGCACTTAATTTCCTGAAAATGTTTGCACGTTCAATGCTTTTTTTGTGTGTGTGTATTCTTTTCCACTTTGTTTTAGTGCTCAGAGTTAAATGAGAAGCTAGACCTATTGCTCCAGGCTCTTCACACAGAAGCCCAGGCTACTCCCATCCTCCCAGCTATCTCTCCCCCCATTGTGGAAGAAGAAGCAGAGGAGTTTTCGAGTGAAGAATCCTTGTCTGAAAGTAAAGAGCAATTAGCAGAGTGTGTCTCAAAGTCTTCCACCCAGAAACTCTTCAAACCGAGGGAACAGTTAATGCTCCGGGCAAACAGCTTGAAGAAGGCTGTGAGGCAGATCATTGAACAAGCAGAAAAAGGTGCATATCAGCAACATTTTGGTCCTTACTGATAGAATAATGATGCTTTTTTTTTTAAACTAGCATAAATTTTCATTTTTAAAGCTTGATTTCTACATTCTTATGTAGATAAAATTATGTGCTCATTACAAGCTGCAAGGAAAAGAAATGCAGCTTGTTTGGATGTTAATGACTGTCTGTCTGCATATATGAATACATGTGTGTGTACATGTAAAAGTGTGTTTCTTTGGTAACTATTATCCTCCACAAAATGAAAATTTCCGGCAGTAAATCTCTATCAATGGGCACAGGATTGCTAGACTGTTTTTCTCTGAATTGGCAATAGAAATCTTTTGTTAATATTTTTAAACTGAAAGTTAAAGCTACAGAAAAAAAGAAGCTAATTTTCCATTTTTGCAGATTTTCTTTAAAGATCTTGAAACTTTCTGTCTTTTTTTTTAATAAGCAGTTGTGGATGAGCAGAATGCTCATAGTGAAGAACAAGTGAACCAGTCCCCACTAGAATATAGCAAAGAATTGGATGAATCCAAAGAAGAGGAAAAAGAGGAAGATACAAAGGAACTTGAGTCGCCATCAAGTGAGTAAATTAGGAATAAAATAATTTCAAATTATTCAGTCTTCTTATAGTTCCATTATGGAGCATAGTTGGCTCCATAATTAAAAACACTAGCATGCTCTTCCACTGGAAACTAGTCACAAATTTTAATAGATCTCGATAAATAAAAGTTGAGGGAAAAATGCGGGAGATGAGATGAACAGTCTTCTGGAATAGATGTACAAAGCTGAGAAGGTACTTGTGGGGGAAAGAAGTGCCTGCATTTAATCCAGTGTTTACACCTTTCTACGTGAACCTGAGCAGGGACTAGAGCCTGGGTCACGGTGGCAATAGCATGTCTCAGTCGTAGGCATTTTAGGGTACCTAATAGGAATTTCTGTCAATCATTTCTGTTGAAGGGATTTCAAATTGTGTGGAACAGACATATTTATTCATTGTATTGACAATGAAATTCTGATGTCTCAGCTGGGAACTTACTTGGAGACAGTTATTGGAATGGACAGAATGAAATTTTAAGTCTTTTATATGAAGTGGAACAGCGTAAAGCAGGAAAGAATATAATAGAAGCTGGAGCATGGAAGTCTCCTGAGGAATGGCAGTACTAAGGTCACCCCCTCTATTTGCCTAATCCAGAGCAGGAATTTGAACTGAAGTCTTTGATATCCTAGGGCTCCTTCCCATGAAAAAATTCCTGTGTTGTTGTCCCGAAGACAGGTCAGTAGTCCAGCTAGTTCCTTGCAGCTATTGGCCACTGTATAGCAAGCCATACAGCAAGCGGCTATACCAAGCTACTCTTGCTTTCCAAGGTGTAGAGCCCCCTACCTGCTCTGTCCTTCGTCGGGTGGACTTTATCATCTGCTGCTGTCTGAGTGCACCTGCTTTCCTGTAGGAGCATCATCCTGCCCTCACTGTGGGGCTCTGCAGGTTACTCTCCAAACAAAGCAAGACAGCGTGGGTAGCCCATGCTGGGTTTTCAAATGCAGCAGAAAGAGCGCAGTTGTATTATTTGTATCAATAGTTGTACAAAGCAATCAGAATATTGAATGATCTGAGTTTAAAACAACTTGCTTGGGAGGTAGCATTTTCATAAAGTAACAGCCCATTTTGTCACTAAGCTTTCCTTTCGGCTATTCAGTGTTTGGTTACTGTACATAAAATGGTATTTAGGAATAGTCATGTCCTGAAATAGCATAGTACTAATTCCCACATTCAGATGATAGGGTAAAATATCTCCTTCATGTGTCCTTTATGAAATCTGCCAGTGAGTGGCTGCAGTGGAAGAAGGAAGGACAATTTGTCTATAAAGGACTCTACTTACCTCCTCCCTTGCTTGGTTTTGTCACCAAGCCAATCCAGCCAGAGGTCACGTTTGGACATTTTCCATCACAAATGTCAATACTGCATTTTGTGTTGACTGGTAGTTCATGTGCCAGGGTTGTTCAAGACTCTCAAGATGCGTAGTAATTTTAGGAAAGCTGCTTCTTACTATAGGTGGAAATTTCAGTCTTTGCCATATTACCAAAGTGGACAGTGATGCACTGCAGGTGAGGTCTCGAGATGATGTGCGAGTCAGGGAGAAACAGTGGTAGCTGGTGGACAGCAAAAGCCATCCTCTAGATATTTGGTGAGCAACTTCCTGTGGCAAAATGAGCAAAGTTGTTTGGGATTTGCGTCTCCTTCTGTTACCTTAACCCACACCAACATCCTCAAAAGGTGGTGTCCTCGTGAGGCTCTGCTCTGAAGCTGGTGCCTGTGTTGGTGGCTCCTACCTTAGAAATACAACATTAGTCTCTTGGGGCTTCTGTTGATTCAGAATCTCACATTTCCTTTTCTCCAGGAATGGATTTCAGACTTTCTCCAGTGACTGTCTCTTCATCGGTCCCTCTCCTTTTCCCTTGGTTATAGGAATCAGTGTGTGTTGGTTGTCCAGTTTTAATAGTAGCTCATAGAGGATGCTGGCCCTACGGATGACCCAATCCTACTGCCATAGATATATAATAAAATAAAAATACACACATATGTATATCCATATGTAGAAATATATATAAGCCTCTTGTTTCTTGGTGATACAATTTCTGCATTTATTGGGAAGCTGTATTATTCTTCCTACATCTGATATGTGTGAAATAGAGTGCATATTAATGCTGTCAGTGGAAGATAGGTGTTCAGGGACAAAGCATGAAACATGAATTCAATTATCTGCAATGAAACATCAGTTTTACTCATTAGGACTCTTGTTTTTATCAGAGCATGAACAGCAAAAGTTTATCTTTATTGCAGTTATCCCCATGAGTCTCATCTGTCAAATAAAGAGCAGCTGCTCTGTTGATTTTCCTATTTAATATAACTGCCTTGTGCCCAAGTACAGAGAGAACAGACTGTGTGAATAGCATTGTGAATTTTTCAGTAGCGTTATGAAAAATCAATGTTAATTTTGTTCTGAATATTATATTTTACCCTCCAAGGATCTTCCTGGTCATTTGACGAAGATAGTATTTTTCCATATGTTAATTACCTTCATCTAAATATTTAATAACTCTTGTTAGATATCACTTGCAGTTTTTATTTCTTTTCATTTTTTAACTTTATATTATAGTGTTTTGTCATGCACAGATACAAATCATTGTGTTGTATTGTTATCATGCAATACTATAGCATTTTGTGATAATTGCTAGGGCTGTTATACAGATGTTAAAGTCAGAAGGAGCTGTTAGTCCACTTGGTCAGTTCATATAAAACAGTCCAGAAAATTTCACCCACTTATCCCTGTCCTGCATCTAATAATTTCTGTTTGACTTAAGCAAGTCATCCAGAAAGGTGTGTAACCTTATTCCTGGGATACAAGAGGGTGAAGAATTTGCCATTTCATTGACTGTTCCGTACTAGATTATCATCACTTAAAAAAACAAGTGAGTGCCCAAATCCTGGCCTGAATTGATTTGAACACAATTTCTAAACCCTGGTTATTGTTATTACCTTTGTCTCTAGATTTTCCCACTCTGCATTTTCTTTCCATTAATGTCTTCATACAGTACACCCACGTTACTTTCAGGCTGAGTTATCATGATTGACGTGAACTGATCTGTGCCCCTCCTGCCACAAAAAAGGGTGTATTTTATCCTTCCCACCACATTCCTGGTGGTGTTTTTCTTTTGCTTTCTTGGTGCTAGTCCTAATCATTCTATTTTTACTGAATTAGTTTTCAGGTTTTGAGAGGAGTATATCAGATCACTTTGAAATAATCTCATTTTTTGTTCTGAGCTTCTTCAGATGGTCAAGGTTGACTTCCTAAGCTGAAGTAGTTTTAACATGTGAGATAATTTGGAGCAGAGGTAGCCAAGAAATGTCTGTGATCATCTGGTGTGCAAAAGCTTTCTATATGCGCATGGAAATGCTATAGCAAAGCATTCGGTAATACCCAAACTTTCTTCCCTGGGGCACCAATTTCTGGCTACGTCTGACGGGGCTGAATTTCACAAAGAATAACTTCCCCAGGCTAAAGCAGGCACTGGCACATTCTCTCAGTCTGCATGAAACAAGTTCTGCCAGGAAGGTAAATTGAAGCACCTGAGGTCTGCCCTCTGAAAAGCCTATCCTTCGTCACCTCCAGAGGCAGCCCCAGGGATAACTGGCCTCACTGCG